ATCAGCCAGATGAATTCTTTTGAGCGTGACCTGGAGACCATCAATTTGGAAACTGAAGGCCTGAGGAAAAAACAGGTCAAACTGGATGAACAGGTGATTGAGGGTCTGTTTCTGCTCACACAGGGTTCATTCTCCTTCCAGAAAAGTAATCAGATGGAAATAGTTTTCTTCTACCTCTGGGTTTATAACTAAGAGATTTCTGTTATAGATTTAGCGTGTTCCTAGCTTGTTAGAAGTGGTGGTTATGAGGTAAAACCACCCCACAACAGAATATCTCTGTCTCACCACCCACACCCAAAAAACAGGAATAGAGCTGGTTTTCAAGAGACCAGGTGCCTATATATCCCTTTGCCACTTGGCCAGCCTTCTCCAAAGCGGTGTCTACCAAATCTGTTGGACCCTCATCCTAAACCAGCGTGGCCAGTTATAGTGGGTACAAACGAGGTGGCGAAGGATCAAAGAGACCAGGAGGTGAAACCTGTCCGCAGGTGTGTGTTCACTGAATGGAACAGACATGAGCCAAGGGATTCTGCCCGCTGCTGTCATCCATGAAGGAAAGGACCCACCAGAAAGTGCCTTGTCAGGGAGAAGGAGAGACCGAAGGCCTCTGGGCAGCGTATGCCAAGTCAAGGGAATCTGAGCCCTTTCGTCCGTGGCTCCCAGCCTTGGGGTCTCGGGAAGCCAGTCAGGATTTCTAGGGTTTGATGTTCAGGAACATCTGGGGACCCAAGGCTGGTAGCCACTGCATTAGGTCACTGAAGAGTCACTGCTCCTGCAAACATCTGGCACTGAAAATACAGAGATGGTTGTCCTGATGGAATTTCACTGTTGATCCAGCCAGCCTGGTCTTGGCCAGCGGGACTGGCGGTAAATCTTTTAAGAGGCAAAGACAGGGAGAAGCTGCCAGCTTCTGCTGTTCGTATCCAAGCTCTTTTGAACGAAAGGGGCTAGCCTGTCTCCCCAAGAGAAACCATAAAGTGCCATTCGGTGTTAAGGCATTTCCAGCACCGTAAGAATCTGCTGATGCCTCGAAGGAGCTGTATTCTGTGGTCGATATGAACAATGCCTCTGAAGCATCCTTTACCACATGTGAGCATCAGTCCTTGAGGGAGTTTCTCTGCCCTCCGCTATTTCCTTTGGAAATTTCACCCCACTTTGCTTTTTTCTGACCTGGCATAACTTTGTGACCATGAGGTCTAGAAACCTGTTTCTGTTTTCTGTACAGGTCACTGCTCTTAAGAAGGTGGACTTTTGTACATGGCACGTGTGCAGGGCTTGAAATTAACCTGACCCCCAACTTAATAGGATATTCTGCTGTGGGGCATAGAATTGAAAGAGGTGGTCTATTTAGGCCTTGCCTTCTTCCCACCCCCCACCCCACCCATCTTTGATTTTTGGGGAAGATTCTTTGCAGTTTGCCATTTGCCTGCTTCCCTTTCTGTGCAACGGTTTTCTTGCCTCTTTTACACTCTTGACTCCTGTAACTCTTTCTCTCTCTCTTTCTCCTCCTGTTCTTCTCCCTCTTTTTTGGCTAACAAATGCGTAGACCTTGGTGGCTGGAACTATCAGGGGCGATGACAGTTCTCTGTCTGAATTAGCCTGTGA